ACTTCCAACATATAATGACACAGTATATACATTACCATTCCAAAATGTAGGGAAGGGAACATAGTTGTCTTCTGGTCTATACACACAGACAAACACATACATTCATGTGTACATACCCAGACACATGCATGCATGTGAAATGCACATGCATGCACACACAAATACAGACATGTCTGCTGGGGTGTCCCTTTGGATGTGGGGTTTTGTGTTCTCATCTATGCCTTCCTTGGTAGCAGTATCCCAGCCGATTCAACTTCAGTTGGATTTCTCCCTTCCTTAGAAGAGCAACTATGTCTTTGATAAGCATCCCTGTTATCCTATTTGGGTCAGACAGATACAATCCCGAAAACATCTATCAAATTAATCCACTTGTTGTCACTTTGGTTTCTCAGTCGAATCAAAAATATATACTAATCTTTAATTTATAACAAACCAGCGATTTCTGAATCTCATTACATTCTATGGGGCTGAAAGACAGGCTCTGTTTGATCCACAGATGTCTTTGGTAATAAGTACCTGGCACCACATTTATTCAGTGCATTGAATAAAACCAGCCCTGCTATCTGCTGCAAGGGGGATTAAATAGTTCAGACCCTTTAAAAATCTGTTAACCGCTCCCAACTTTTTTGGAGAAAACTTTCCTTATTTCAAAAATATTTATCTTACTCACTGCCCTTCCCAATTGCTCTGAATTCCCTACAGATCACCCACTTATTTTCTGTTTTAAGCATTCTATTCTACTCATTGTGAAGTTACTTTGTTCACCAAGTAAAGCAGGCAGCAGTCAAAATTGATACTCACATACCACATACAACAGATATGTTATAAAAAAAAAAAACAACCCACAAGTGGCCCTTCATATCTGGAGATCCCACACCCACAGACCCAACCAGCTATATTTAGAAAATATTCTAAAAGTTTAGGTCTGTGTTGAACTTTGTTGTAAGAGTTCCTTTCCCGGGGAAGACATAAGCAATGTCTTCTCTTCCTCCTAATGTCCCAACAACAAACCCAAGTCCACCAAGACCCACTCTGGGTAACTGTCTTAGTCACTGTTCTGTTGTTAAGAGACACCATGGCCATGGCAACTCTTATAAAGGAAAGCATTTAATTGAGGCTTGCTTACAGGTTCAGAGGTTTAGTCTATTGTCATCATGGCAGGAAGCATGGCGGCACACAGGCAGACACGGTGCTGGAGAAGGAGCTGGAGAGTTCTACATCCAGATCCGCAGGCCATGGGAAGAGAGAGACACTGGGCTTGGTTTGAACATTTGAACACCTAAAGCCCACCCCAAGTGACATACTTTCTCCAACAAGGCCACACCCACCCCAACAAGGCCACACCTCCTAACCCCTTTCAGCTAGTGCCACTCCCTAATGACCAAGCATTCAAATACTTGAGCCTATAGGGTCAATCCTATTCAAAATTACCACAGGAACCAATGAGTTTATTGGGCTTAGTTACAGAGCATGGAGGAGGGGTTACTGTAACACTATCGCAGTCCCACTCAACGTGTCTACTCAACATGGATGATGTCTTCCTAAAGCAACACAGATGGAGCCCCTTCAGTCAACCTTCTCAGCCTATAGACTCTAGCACCTTCTCAGAATTGTGAGGCCATGTGCAATTAGAGCATAACTGCATAAAAACTGCTGGGAGGAGTGGCGGGAATATGAGGCTAAAAGCCAATGACCCTGGTACCCACCCCTTCTATGAAGGAATGTCAGTTAACAAGTCTAGTCTTTGGGGAGGGGATCTGGGCAAGCAACCACAGCTGACCTGAGGGAGGGGGCAACTGTTTTGCTCAGAAGACCTTGTTCTGCACCAAACAAGCTTGGTAATTTTCCCTGTCAGTATTCCCTCATTAATATGGCAATAATATTTGCATTGTATTATCTAGTATATGGAATCTACAAATTGTAAAATATATGGAAGATTGTCTACATTCATCTGTGAGCAAAAAGATGGTGTTTTATACGAGGAGGTTGAACATGAAGAGGTTTTCATATGGGGCTTATGGGGCTGAAACCAATTGACTATGGATCCCATGGAATGATTTTAAAAGTAAGTATGCAAGCCGGGCGGTGTTGGCGCATGCCTTTAATCCCAACCCTCAGGAGGCAGAGCCAGGCAGATCTCTGTGAGTCTGAGGCCAGCCTGGTCTACAGAGCGAGAGCCAGTACAGCCAGGGCTACACAGAGAAACCCTGTCTCGAAAACAACAACAACAACAAAGTAAGTACGCAGATGTCATACTTGTATAATGTTAAATGTGCACTGACCTGACCTGCTCCATTATCGTGAGGAACAATGATGAGTGTACACTAGAGAAATGCCTCCCTGGTCACTATAAAGAGAGAAGGATCCAGAGTGGGTCAACTATCCATAGGCATGCTCCATAATGACAAGAATGTTCTAGAGGGTACAGAGGCAGAGACCAGTGGTCAGCCTGAGGACATGGGAATGGCCAGCCCCAGGCAAGTAAGGCCAGCCTGCTACTCATACATATATATATATATATATATATATATATGTGTGTGTGTGTGTGTGTGTGTGTGTGTGTAGTTCAGAGGCCATTCTGCCTGGCCTCGCCAAGATTTCTCCTCGGCGACGTGATTGATTCTAGTGTGAATGGTGAAGGAAGGTTGCTATGAAGGTAATCATGGAGGGGGTTTTGCCCTGAAGGCCCTTTCTAGATCCTGTTGTCAAGGTGTCTTATAAATCCTGCATGATACCAGGCAAGAGTGGATGCCAAAAGTCACAGACCAGCCCAGAGGTCAGGAGATCACCCTCTTTCTGGGCCCTTCAGTGACGAGAAACCAAACAGCAAAATAACCATAAATACCTCAGCAACAGATGTGATCCTAAAATTGAAGTTTCCCAATAAAGGGACTCTGTGTGGAACAAAAGCCAACTCCCAGAGGGAGCGATAGCTGAGTGGGTTCATTTTGTGAAGAAGTTGCCCTTTTTATGACTAGCTGATTTCGAAGGCTGAATTGCAGAGATTGTAGCAGAAGCGTTTTAATCAGAACGCCTCTGCTCCTGGGGAGGGGAGGGCAAAAGAGACTTCTCAGCTCTGTGCGTCATGGCTACTCCCAGCACACTTGCTGCGGCAGGTATGCCCTCTCTGGGTGGCAGGTGGGTCCTGGGCTGAGTGTCTTGTCAGCAGGCTTGCCCTCTAAGTGGCAGTGGAGGGGGAGGCTTAAAGCTTGGAAGCACAGGGATGCTGAAGTCGGTTTGAACAATCTAAGATAGCTTTTACTGGGACTCCAGTCCTCAAGATGAGACTCCAATGCCAGCAGAGCATCCTCTCTTTTCTCCTGCGGCTACTTTGATCCCAGGAGTCCTGGGTCAGCATCCCTACCCTGCCCCATCACCACTTCCTGTCTATCAGGAAGAGCATTATCAGGGTAAGAATAAACAACAAAGTTTCCCCGTCATGGGCTAGAGTCAGACATCAGTCACCACCAATGCCAAAGGCTTCAATCAGATCAGTCAGGAATGATGGAGGTCTTTCTGAGGGTGATTGACGGCTTAGGGGTGGTGGGGTCAGACTCATGCTTCTGTAAATCCATGAAGAAAACAAAGATCAGTGGACAGTATGGAGTCAGGGCAGGACCACAAAGCCAACCTCTTGGGTTCACATCTTACTTCTGCCACTGGACAGACAGAAGCAGCTTCCAAGTTATCATACTTGGGTGAGCTTGTGTGAGAACGGGAATTTAATAGAATATGTGATATGTTGTATCACCTGAGTGATGGTGAGGGTGTGTGGCAAAGCGGGAGGGAGCTGGAAGCACCATGCAGGGTTCCTATGTCTCAGATCCCCTGCTTTCCCCACATAAGCAGGATTTAACCACAGCCTCACAGCCAAGAGGAAGATGGTAAACAACACACAGCCTGGGGAGGGGGCGCGGGGGAGCAGGGGAAACAATGGTGTTTGCTAATGCATTTTCTTCTCATACCTCAGATCAAAGGTCTGAGCTTACTTAGACCTTCTCCCAGCCAACCAAGGCTCCCTTTCTCTGTCTTTTTATTTTATTTTATTAAATTTTCTATTCATTTTACATACCAACCACAGATCCCCCGCTCCTCCCGTCCCCCAGCCTTCCCCCCTCCAACCCACCTCCCATTCCCACCTCCTCCAAAGCAAGGCTTCCCATGGGGAGTCAGCAGAGCCCGGTGCATTCACATGAGGCAGGTCCAAGCCCCTCCCTCCTGCACCAAGGCTGTGCAAGGTGTCCCACCATAGGCACTGGGCTCCAAAAAGCTGGCGGCGCCTCCGTCTTGAGCTCCCATCAGGTTGTTTTACTTCAGGAATAGCCATTCCCGTGGAGAAAGGTTTGGCCATGTCTCATCTTGGAAGGACTGGGAGGTCTGCCATGTTGCAACTTACCCTGGAGAAGTCAAAGCCATCAGAACATCAAAGTGAAAGACAGTCCAAGTTCATGAATGGCGTCAACCAGCCCAGTGTGGAAAGCCGGGAGTAAACAATAACCGCTCACAATAATGAGAGTACAACCCTGCTCTTTGACCAGTTTGAGACCTCTAGTCTCTCATCCTTAACCAGAAATGAAGTGATATTGTTGGCATAGCGGACTCCATCTGAGCTGTAGAGCTGGGTCTGCAAATGGTGACTCCACCTCTGTCCCGTGGTCATCGCTACTGCTTAGTGTGGTCTCAGACACTGAGGATAAACAGTGTTGAAGGGCATGTTCCACAATGACGATCCCCTGCCTGGATCTAGTCTGACTCCTTTTTGGAAACATTTCTCCCTTCCTTCCTTCCTTCCTTCCTTCCTTCCTTCCTTCCTTCCTTCCTTCCTTCCTTCCTTCTTTCCATCCTCTCTTCTTTCTTTCTTTCTTTCTTTCTTTTTTTTTTTGAGACAGGATTTCTCTGTAGTTTTGAAGCCTGTCCTGGCTGGCCTCAAGCTCACAGAGATCCACCTGTCTCTGTCTCCCAAGTGCTGGGATTAAAGGCATGCGCCACCACCGCCTGGCTCCAGTGTGTCTCCTTTTTCAATTGGTTTTTATTGTTAAACTCTATGTTTTATTGTATGAGGTATTGGATTATATAAGGCACCCTGACAACGATATAACGTGCTTTGAGTATATGTGCCCCAAGTCTGCCCACTCCCCTCCCTTTCCTCCTTCCACAATCCCATTTGTCCTCTAGGTTACCCTAAACAGTTTTGTGTCTACTTTCATGTCCTGTGTATACATACGACTTTGTGCTTCTCTATAAAATCTAACCACAAATGGGAAAAAAACTTGTATTTTTGAAACTGACTTAATTTGCTTAACATGACTGTCTCCAGCTATATCCACCTTCCTGTGAATGGTGACCAGTCTCCTTTAGAGCTGGACAATTCTGAGGGATTGCCTCCCACATCTTCTACGTAGTAGGAGAGTTGCAAGGAAAGCTGTGTGGCTGGAGCAAGTTAGACGTGCTCATCCTGGTAGGTGTTGGTCACCTTATACATTTGTCCATCCCTTTTGTTCAATGAAGATATTAAAAAGCTTGGGTAACAACACGCCTTTCTTCTTGACACCATCGTTGTGAGACTTCCCCTTCCTGACCCCACATGCAGTCCATATACCAGCTCTTTGTCGTAAGATGTTCTTGTTATCCTGATTCTCATTGCACCCCCTCCCCTGGTCCCCAGCAGAGACTCCTTCCCAACTGGTTGGAGGAATATTCTCCTACGAAAAGAACAAAGGGATGAGTTATGGGTGACTCTGTGATAGATATTAAAATCAAGTTGTTGGTTAAATTACAGATTAACACTGAGAAACTACAGCTTACTTCCCCTCCTTACACATAGAATCGTGTTCTAGAAAGTTCCCCAGGCTGTCTCCAGCTCATATCCCCCATTGTCTCTGTGGCTTCTGATGATGCAGTTCACCTAAGCAACCTGGCCACCATTTTCCCAGCCAGGGCAGGTTAACCCTGTTCTTCCTGAAGCTTCATCCCTTCAGATGTCATCCAAGCAGAAAAATAAAAATAAAAATAAAAACAAAAAGATGCCACATTCCTTGTTTTGATCCTTCTCTGTTTAGTATTTGAACTTACTATGACAAACATTAAGAGAAGCTTGCTGGTACCAAAGGAGTCAAATTCGGTGGGAAATTCTTGCTACTCCATTCATATATCTCTTATTTTAATGCCATTTTCAAGAGAGGGTTTTAATGAGTTAGTGAATTACATTCTTTTAAATATTTCAAAATGTGTTCATAAATTTAACATATCTGGCTCCTTTTAAAGCAACGGGTAGACCTCATTAACATGGGAAGCGCTCTCAAACACTTAAGGAGTCCTCATAAATCTCGCAAGAGAAACTTCCCGAGAGCCCTTGACTTCTGCTGAGCACCCCACTCTTGTTGGTACTTACATAAACTCTCTTAAACTTCTCAACTTAAAATTACAAATCCAAAATTAATTTCTCACCACAGGAACCTCGAGGATATTCACTTGCCTGAGAGAATAAACTACCATAAATACATGTAGAAAACACTGTCTGATAATTACAACGCTTGCCATAAATAATATTAAGAAACAGACCTGGTTTTATTCGGCAATAACTCTTTTAAATTATTAAAACTTCCTGGGTTCTAGACTCAATAAGAAAGCTATTTTACCATCTCCAGAAAATTTAGATTATACTCCAAGAAACGTGGGACGCATTGTTCTTTAGTAATTATGATTCCCTTTTCAGTGGGCCAAAACTGCCACCTGACCAACACTTAAGGTCAGGATCATGATCTGGTGCCCCCACACATTCTACTCTAGTCCCCACCACCCTGACTATCTGCATTATATCCCCTCTTCTGGTGTCTCCATGGAGACAGGCTCCAGGGCCACCTGGAAGTTCGCCCATCATCCCATTGATCTGGCTGGTTCCAACCTGTGTCTCACCCTACTTTGGTGATTATGATGAATTAACTTAATCAGCTGACTACTACAGCCTTTTCTATAAAAAAATAAAATAAACAACCTTATTAGATGAACTGATTAATTTGACATTCATTTTGTCAAGTTAGTCAAAGAAAAATATGCTACTAAATCAAAAGAGTCACACTCTCACATTGCTAAATGCGATAGTGGCTTAGAAACTGAACTGTAGAATGGACTCCAGAATTTAATGTGAGAAACACTCTGTCCAACAAAGGAAGGCTGGAGAGATGCCTCTGTGGTTAACAGCACTGGGTGCTATCACAGAAGACCCAGGTTGGGTTCTCAGCACCCCCAGGGTGGCTCACAATCATCTGTGACTACAGTTTCAGGGGATCAGATGCCTTCATAAATGAGAATAAAAATGAATGTTCACAAAATGGATTAAACGAGATCAGCAGGAGAAAGAAAGAAGGTGAATTATAGAGAAAAATGGATGATAAGAACAAGCAACATCTAGATATTATAGTGAAGGGTGAGGAATGAGGGCTTATGCACAAAGTACTTTATAGGCTCCTTACTGATCAGTTGACGGTAGGGTCTTATGCAACCTATACAATATTTTTTAATTAAAAAAAGAAGACTATGACACATCCTTAGAGGAAGATAACAATCCTCTAAGCAGTATAAAAATGTTTCTTTGATCCTGGCTGCACGCCAGTAGGTGATGATTGTGTGTGTTCAGTTTCGGGATGGTGACAGATTTCCAAGAAGAGTGGAAGCAGCAACTGAGAAATCACATGTGGCCACTGCTCAGCAGCTCCCAAGGGTCCTTCTGGAACACACCATCAGATCAGGAAGCTGATCTGGGAGCCAGACACAGCTCTCACTGTGGTCAGAATCTGAGTAATGTCTCTCTCCTCCTGTCCCCTCCCTGGAAGCCCCACCCAGCCCATGTCCAGCCCCAAGTGGCCTCTGATTCCACAGCCTGGCTCTGTAAATTGTTTGATCTCCAGGGCCCTCGGCCCATCCCTGGTGATGACAGACTCCCTGTGGGTTTCCGTGACACCTCAATCATATTTCACCCACTCCTCACCTCAGTTTCATCTTTGTATCTCATGTATCCATTTCTCCATCACAAGTAAAATTGAGCTTCGTGTATGAGTGCCCACCTCCTTAGTGCAGCCCCCGGCAGAGGGTAGACATCCAATGTGTTAATCTGTCTTGGAGGAAAAATAGCTGGGGCTCTCCACACAGCCCTGCAAAGCCAAAGGTCCTTAAGGGGGAACAATGGCCTCATTATCTGGATGCAGGTCCTGACACAAGAGAAAGAAAGGAAAATGCGTCCCTCAATAAAAATTTCCACCAATAACTAACGTTAAAGTAACTGGTTTGATGAGGGCAAGGAAGATGTCAGGCAGAAGAAGAAGAAAGAGCAATTTTACATTTCAAAAAAGGGGGGGAGAAAAATGAGAAAGGATTTTATGCATTATGGCTCCCAGAATTCAGAATTGATTGAACAAATTCCAAAGGCTCTTGCTTAGGATATGATTAGTTATTCATACAAGTGGCATTTGTTTTCTACCTGCATGGGCATTTTAAATATGATTCTGACAAGCAGAAAAAATAATAATAATAATAATTTCCACGCTTGACTTCCAAGTGGACAAAAATTGCAACTTGAAGGGCGTTGTTGTTTGGAGGCGAGGCAGAGGCAGGAGCTGTCCAGCCTGGGGCCTCTCAAACAAGGGAATGAAGAAAGAAGAAATGTAGGCTACGGGAGACAAAGAAGGAAACGGAGGAAAGAGAAAGGGAGGAAGGGAGGGAGAAGAGAGCTGATGTGCTAAAGGGACTGATGAGAAGGAGAGAGAGAGAGAGAGAGAGAGAGAGAGAGAGACTTCCCATAGGAAAGTATTAATCAGAAACTCATTGTTTTTAAAGCCTATGCCACTAAAATTAGAAGTAGTCTCAGGAGGGGTCTAGATAAATGGACAGATAATTGCCAGGAAATTTAAATTACTTTAAATTAAATTACTTTAAAGGTATTTCATAACGGCTCCTTTAGCTTTTTTTCCATTTCCAGGCTGCTGAGCTGGAAACCCACAGTTAGCCATTCCCAGGGACACCTGTGCAGCCTCTGACCTAGGTGATCAGACTTCGGGACTACGGTTGAATTAACCCAAAGTCATCGGGAACCTCAGAACGTGGCCCCTAGGTAGAAGTAAGGCCTTGGATGAGATAAGGAGTTAACAACGTGAGTTCATATCAGGTTGAGGTAAGGGGTGATGGCTGTCCCTCTGACCAGAGAAAAGGACACAGAGACACAGACTGCGAGGGAGGGAGTCACGGGATAATTGAGGTGGAGAATGATGGAAGCCACCACAGAAATCAGGGACAGCAGGAAGAGTGGCAGGCAGGGGTGGGGAGTGGGGGTGGGATCTCTTGAGTCTCCAGAACAACACAGCTTTTCTGGTGCCTTGACTTTAGATGTCCAGTTCCAAGAATTTAGAACAAATAAACTGGATTAGACTGGACCATGCGAAGCTCTGTATGGAGATGATAGGTAACTGTGGAGCTGAGATAAAGGATGTCTTCACAGTGGGGCCACCATCCTTTCTCTCTCTCTTTCCCTCCCTCTCCCTGTCACCCACTACCCCTCTTATGAAGACAGTAAGCCAGGAGGAACCCTCACATAAACCAAAACACTCTGGCACTCTGATATCAACCTCCCAGCCTCCAGAACCACAATTTTTAAAAATGCACCTCATTTGTTCAATGGACTCAGCCGGTGGTATTCTGTGTTAACAGCCAGAATTGACCAGGACAGCCATTGACTGTGGGTAACCAGCCGCAGCAGCTACTGAGCTACAGATTGCAGAAGATTTGCAGGCAGGGCAGGGGTGGTGGTGCATGGAGAAGTCGTCACTAGAATGTCAAAGTTTACCTATCATGTTTGAATGGAGACCCTCCTAGTATCCTTCCTCTTGGACATAGACTGAAGGAGACACGATCTCCATTCTGTAAGAGATATTCAGGAAAATCTCACTCCTGGGTAGAAATTCACACTTTCTGCACAGATGCATCCCAGGCTCTCTCTTGTCTGACTCAGAACCCATCAACAGAGAAGTCTAGGAGATGGAAGATGATGGGAGCTTGCAAGAAGATGAAGCAATTTATACAACTCTTTGAGGATCAAACTCATAGTTCATGAAGGTAAATTCAAACCTCAGGTGCAAGCATGACCCCCACATGCCCAGGAAGCCTGCTGATTTTAGGGCATGGAGGTACCCTCAGCATAGGTGAAAGTTAAGAGCCAGCCAATGAGATGTAGTGGAGATGCTATCAGGAAGCTTTGGGCTGAAGTCACTGCTGTTTTGAGTGTCATTGTCCTTGCTCCACACTGAGTAGATGAGTCATGTTCTCTAGAGAAGTGATAGGAGGCATTTACATTATAAAGGGGATTTATTAGATGGCTCCATGGCATGGGCTCAGCAGCCCAACAACGACTGTCTGCACACTAGCAAGGGTGAAAACTACAGGCTGCTCTGTCCACAAGACTGGATGCCTTGAAACCTGTTGCTGAAGAGCTGGAGGATTCCTGGAGAGATGCTGATCTTCAGGGTGTATTGGAAGGCCAAGAAGATGGGCTCTGACATCCTTGAAGGATGGCTGCCATGAGAGCAGTGATGGGATGGGGCAGATGCACTCACCAGTGTGGAGGGAGGACTGCCAGCATCAGCACCACTTTCCCTCAGACCTCACAGATCTTCCCAGAGGGGCATCTTCTAGCTGACTCCCTACCCAATCAAACTGGCAATCAGCAGCCATGTAGCAGCTTTGTTCTTGCAGCCTCAGGTTGCACCACCCACAGGTAAGACACACAAGCCCTCCAGGGAGAGACAGGTCAGCTCCCAAGTCACCTGCATGGTCACTGTCCCCTCTGCCTCTCTGGGACCACACTTGTGTTCTGAGTGAAAAGTATCCCCCGCCCCATGCTTGTGGATTTGAACCCTTGTTCCTTGGCTAATGGTACTGTTTGGGGAGGTTGTGAACCCTTAAGGAATCGGGGCCTTGATAGAGGAAGTGGGTAACGTGGGCAGGCATTGTGGTTTCATAGCTCAGTCCCACTTCCTGTTCTCTTGCTTCCTGTGTGTGGTCACAATGTGATTAGCCCCTCCCCTGCTCCTGCCACCATGCCTTGGAAGCCATGATGGACTCTGTCCCTCTGAAACTGTAAGCCAAATAAACCTCCTCTCCCTTAAGTAGTTTTTGTTTTGTAATTTTATCCTATCAACAGAAAAGTTGCTGGAGAGATGGTTCAGTGGTTAAGAGAACTCAATGCTCTTCCAGAGGACTAGAGTTTAGTTTTCAGGACCCAACTGGCAGCTCACAACCACTAGTAAATCCAGCTCCAGGGGAATATGGTGCCCTCTTCTGGCTTCTATGGGCACTGCACTCATGTGCACAGACACACAGAAAAACAAAAACACAAATAACTTTTTGACCCAGAGAGGGAGAGAGAGAGAGAGAGAACATGCATACATGAGAGCTAAGACCATACCCTACCCATGTGCTCTAGAGGCCAGGCAGGTCCCATAGTGAGTGGTCCTGGTGACAGAAGCATCTGGGAAACTGAGGCAAGCGGATGCTTCAGCCTTTGCTGCCATGCAGGGGCTAAGCCTGTTGTGACTAGACCCATCAATTTCCTAAGAGAAGTTGGTTCCTGCCTCTCCACGTTACATACTAAAATAATATATGCCCTCGGATATCAGCAAACAAAACTGAAAAAAGGCCCTATGTCCACATAGAATCAGCTTTCAGCAGATCTAGGAATCTATAAAACTTTTAAATAGTTGTTTTACTTTGCCTTTTGAAAATGCATGGTGCCTCTGCTCTTTGAGTCACAACTCACCTTTGTTCACATCTGCTCTTGGTCACGGGTATTCCTCTTGGGTTTCTCCTGCTTGGAGACCCAACAAGGTCCACAAGTCACTGCCACCCATACTGGACTGTGTTGCTATTTAGCAGGGTCATGAACTAACTAACCCACTAACCAACTTCCCATCCCTCTCCCCTTTCACTCCCTTCCTTCCTCCTTTTCCCTCTTCTTCCCTCTCTCCATCTCGTCTTCCTTCCAGCCCCTTCTATGGATTCTGGATGCCTCGGAATCCAGGTCCCTAGAAGCTGTTCCCTTCCCGCTTGAGCAGAATAGATTTGTTGACAGCGAAAGCCCAGGGAGAGAGTGTGCCTGGGAACATAAACGATGCAGGGCAGAAATAAGACAAGAGAAAAATAGAGAAAGAGACTGCTATTTTTAAGTAGAACATTCTTTTCTCTCCAGTGACTTGGGAGAAAGGCAGACCCGGCGGAAAAACGAGTCTCTACTTTCAGCGAAGTGCTGGCGACTGGGAATCTATTTTGGACCAGAGCTGAAAACAAAATCTATTTTGAGAAACAAGCTGTGATTGGCAGTCTGCTTTGTTTGACTTTTGCAGGCCATTGTCCCCGGCAGAATGAAAAGCGTGTGTGTTTGCTCATTATTTAAATAGGCAGTACTCTCTCTCTCTGCTTCGCAAGATTCGAGATTTAAACTTTTGTCAGAACCCTCTCAGCAATGAAACAAGGCAAATTTGCGAACTCCAACGGCTCTGCCCTCCGGTCCTGCTGCTGCTCTGTCTTTGAGAGTCTTGCCTGTATCACTTGTCATCACTATTGCCATCACCCAGCAAGCTCTTGTCCTGAGAAAGGCATTGTGGGAGAATCCAGAGAACACTGAAACATGTCTGAAACATGAATCCTGTAGTCTGAAATTTGGGGTCTGCCTGTGCCTAGCTGATGTACCATGGGGGCCCTTCTCTTGAGGCTTTGAGGTGAGTCCCTCAGGGTAACACTTAATCTGAACAAATTTAAACAGGAAGGACTTAAGATGAGAGAAAGGCTACTGTATCAATTATTGACAGGACCTCAGGTAGGAGATAATGTGATTTGTTTCTCTTAAAGGGGGGTGTCTTGTATCCCAGGTTAGACCACTTATCACATTCTCATTCTCTTCATTCACCTTGCAAACAGTACATGGGACCATTCCATTCCATCTTGGCCACTACCTATGAATCTACAGTTATTTAAAAGGAGATTTTCTTTCAGATTAAAAAAAAAATACATCCCAGACACCCTCAGCCTTATTTCTTTAAGAGGTCAAAAGACCATAGGCTTCCAGAGTGTGCCAGTGTGTGCCTTGGTGCTAACTCTGTACATAAATTTATCCTGAGTAGCATCCAGGATTGTTCTTGTGGCATGAATAAGTGATGTGTTTACATTTAGCTTTTCTTGTTGTCAAGCTGTGATACTGCCTGGATGATGAAGTTAACATGAAAACTCATACTTAATGTATAATTTCCATTATAAGCAATTACCAAGGGCTATGGAGATGGCTTAGTCAGTAAGTGCTGCTGGGCAAGCATGAAGATCTGCGTTTGGATTCTCAACACACATGCAAAAGCCAATCATGGGGTCACATATTGATACTGTAGATACTGGAGAGGCAGAGACATTAGATTCCCAGGCCTCTCTGCCTAGTTTTAGATGATTTGGTGATCTCTAGGTTCAGAGAGAGACCTTATCTCAAAAAATAAGGTGGAGGGTGACAGAGGAAGGCTATATCGTTGACCTCCGACATACATGCTCACACATACATGCACAGACATTACTGTGTGAAAGAGAAAGAACTGTAGATATTGACTATATCCTATCCGCAGATAGTCACGGGGACCCAATTTGATCACAAGCATTTTCAAGAGGTAAATGCCAGGCAAGAGGGTCATGGACCCCAAGGTCAAAAAGAGGTGGCTTCCTGTCTGCAAGACGTTGTTGGAGACCTTGGAATGTAAAATCGCAATGGCGGCATAGATGGGTTGTGTCATATCTAAATCACATCAAGCCCTGAAACTACAAAAGGAAGTTTTGTAGTTGAGATAAGGAACCAAGTTAGAGAATAACCAATGCTCCTGAGACAATCAAGAAGGAGAATGGGAGACAGCTCTGTGGCTGGCAGTGGGGTTTGCTGAGTAAAGTCTGTTGATTCGTTGAGTGTCTATTTAAATTTTAGAAACTTTCCAGTATCCATGGCAACTGGATTTGATGATGAGATCAACTGTATTTCTCAACACACATACACACAACATAATATAACACAGTTGTGCATGCTTTTAGACCTTTCTCGAATACTAACTTTTGTAGACATCGGTATGTGCTTGACAACTTTGATTTTTTTTTTTTTTAGTGTCTCTGTGACAGATGGATGGGGTCACTAGGAGACAGCATCAGGAGTACATTTGACACCCTTAATAAAGGTTCACCCACGTGTAGAGACTCTCAGATGAAGCAAATTCGGTAGAGAACAGAAAAGAACACCAAGTCTCCAGGATCCTTGTGTGAAAATTCTTTTATGCTTATTTTTCCTTTGAAAATTTTCAAACAAGGATTAAAAACAAACAAAAAGAAAAAAAGAAAAAAAAAACCAGGGATCCCTGCTTCAATGCACCCGCATCACACTTAACTGAGTTTCTTAATGCCTGTTTTCAAATGAGTCAATTATTTTCTTCACTGACAGAAACCAAACAAATCCTAAAAAGCATTTTGCAATAGAATTCTCCCTGAGTTGGGAGGGAGGCAAGCTTTCCTCAGAAGCCACTGGCTCCATGGTGCAATCAAGCCCTACACTCCCAGGCCCACGTTAGCTGTTTGCTGACACTAAGCTAATTAAAGGCTACCAGCTCATTTTGCATGAGATTCCCAAAAACTTAAGGTGCTAATAAAATTGTACTTTTAATATTCTATATCAATCACAAAGTGACCTCATTTACAAAAAAAACAAAAACAAAAAAACAAAAACCACTCAATTGGTAACTAATTTGCAGTACAATTATGTTAACCACACTCCAGATGTGCATACTTGCTGGAAAGGTTTTTCTTTGGTTTTGGGTTTTTTGGGGGGAGGGTATTTTTTTAAAGATGTGAAGGGGTCTCATGATCCTGGATCACATTTGTGGATCTGTGTCTTGATTGAACTAAAGATGAACCTGAGGACTCATGTAGCGTAAAACTCAAGACTCAAATGAATTCTAGATGCATGTGGCTTTATTTTTAAACCTTTTATTCCCTATAACAAAGTGGCAGGAGCTGGAAAGATGAATCAGTGTTTAAGAGCATAGGCTGCTATTTCAAAGAACCCAGGTTCAGTTCCCAGCACCCATATGGCAGCTCACAAGTATCTGTAACCCCAGTTCTAAGGGACCTAATGCTCTCTTCTGGCCCCTGAAGGCACTGTATGTGTGGTGTACAGATATACATGTAGGTAAACACACACACACACACACACACACACACACATACACACACACACACACACACACACACACAAATAAAGTAAATACATAAATCTTTAAGAAATAAAGTAAAATGGCAATTTTCACACAAGATGGTAAGAGCCCATGGGAATTCACTCTAAATGACTCAGAGTTGCCTCTGTCTTCTTTTGTTAACAGTTATTCACTGCCAGCTACAATGGCTGGATTCAATAAAACTTTGTAAATTCATTTTTGACTGAATTGATAAATTGCTATGAAAAAAATCTATGAGTTATTTCATCAGAAAACAAAGGTTGTCCAGAAGTTTATGTGTCTGTGACTCAGCTTTTACAAGATTGTGCATATTCAAGTCCATCAAATAGTCAGGAAGGATTGGGGTTTGCTACATGGCCGACATTAACATATACTACCTCCAAATGGAAATGGTATTTTTAAAGATGTTTTGTTTTTACTTTATGTGTATGAAGGTTTTGCCTACATACATATATGAACGCTATGTGAGTGCAGTGCCCCAAGAGGCCAGAAGAGGGCATCAGCTCCATAGGAACTGGTGTTACAAATCGTTGTGAGCAGCCATGTGGGTTCTGGTGACTAAACCCAGGTCCTCTAGAAGAGCAGCTGGTGCTCTTAACCACTGAGTCATCATCTCTCCAGCCCCTGAAGAGGTATATATTTGCACATCCAATGTTCCTGCTGTGGACCAGAGGAAGATCTGAGCTTGGTCCAGGATGGAGGCCAACATTGCTCTATCTCAATGGATAAGTAATATGCCATTGTTAGGCATGAGAATAGAATAGATTACTGCTGCGGGCCGCAGGAATATATCATAAGAACTCAGCTGGTTATGGCAAAGTCACTACCTGGAGGGATCAAGGAATTCCTCCAGAGGAAGCCAAATTCCGAGGAGCTTTTGGTGTTACTTGGATTGTTGCATATCAGCTGTCTTCTGTTATGAAAATCATGTGTGCCTTCATAGTTTTCCCAATTGACTTTTCCCTAAGAAGGGCTAACAGTGTGGATTGATCACTCTCTGGACATACACATTCCAGGTATTTGGAGAACAACCTCAGGAAAGACTTTCTCTGGAATCAGATATCTCCCTTAGCCACTCTCAAGGACTAACAGTAATAACAAGTCTCCTGATTTAAGGTAAATTCCACAAGGAGACACTACCTAGGTCAGGTGGACGTTAAGTAACAGTTTTACACAATTTAGCTCGGACCCTCCTTTCTTATAGCCTTACTAACTTTAAAGACCTTTAACTCCTTACCTAACCACTTCTAGGAATATTTAGATAATTTTCTGTGCTGACAGCTATGCTCAGCCAGAACCCCTGTTCAAACCTCCCTGTAATTATCATCATTGGCAGCATCTGGCCAGGTCCATTCCAAGATGGTGGAAAGTATCTTATCGGAGATACCTCTGTACTCTCTAAGAACAGACTTAAGCATCCAGACTACCTGTTTGAGAAGGCCTGACAGATGTGCCAATTAAGCTTAACTTCCTCCTTTCCCAAATCTTACCTCCAGTTCCAGATCTCCCTTTTACTATCACCAGAGTCATCTACCTGTACACAGGTTGCCTAGCGACTGAGCATACTTTCCCCCACCCTGCAGAAAAATGGCAGATAGCTCAGACAGATAGGAGCCACAGGAAAAAAGAAGGCAGTTTTATTTTCTCCCATTGACCTAGCAACTTATAGATTCTAAACATTTTCTACTAATCACGTTTAAGACTATAGTTGAGCATATAAGATCCCTCTTCTTAGATATTACCCAAATTTAG